AAATTTCTCAAAGAGCTTGGAATTATGGGAGAAAATTCTATCAAGTTGTTCTGTGACAATCAAGCTGTAATCAGTATCGCAAAGAATCATGTTCATCATGACCGAATGAAACACATTGAGATTTATCGAAACTTCATTTCAGAGAAGGTGGACAATGGAATCATTGAATTGGTTTATACTCCTTCTAGAGACCAAACCGCAGACATTCTCACCAAGGCTCTCCCTAAGTCCAGTTTTGATGAGCTAACAAACAAGTTGGGCATGTACAATCTGTACAACCTACCTTGAGGGGGAGTGTGGAATTACGCTCATTATTATTTACTTTAATTCTATTTAGTACTTGTTATATTTAGTCATAGTATAAAAAGAGTAATTCCTTAATTATAGGTATTCATGTTTATTCCATAATTATAAGAATTACTTAATTGTAGGAAGATTTTTTCCCTCATTTTATCTCTTGTACTCGCCTATTTATAGGTGAATTATCTATGTATTCAATGAGAAAAAATGTTATTCAAAATTCACAAAAATTAATCCACAAAAGTTAAGATTCAATATATGTCAATTACATGGAGTTGGACTAGGCCATAATCAAACAAAATTGCCATTTGCATGCCTTCCTATGCTCTTCTTTATTTTTGGATAGATTTTCATTTTTTTCTTAATCTATATTGTTAGGTTTTATCATCTTCGTTGGATAATATTAAGTTTAATTTGAATGTTTTGTTAGGACTATATTTAGTTTCAGATAGGGTTATATTTGTATTAAATCTATTTGACTTTATTTTTATAACCCATTTCTATATATAGGAACTGTTGACTTGTATTTAGAAGGAATTTTGTTGAAATGAAAATTAATTATTTTTATGCCAATTGAGTGCTCCTTAGATTCGAGTTGTATATGGAAATCATTCCAAATTTTGAATGCAAAGCACTTCCTCTTTCCCCTTTCCCCTTTCCATCAATATGTTGTGAATGATGTAAGATTTTCATGAAAACTTCTTTCACTTTGACTGCTAGCAAAAGCTTTTCCTACTATACGAATATATGTTTCCACAAAATTTATCCAGAGAAGCAAAATAATACAATTGGTGAAGCTAACAAGTTAGCATACGAGAAGTAATTTTTTGTGGGGATTCTAACCATGTTTCTCAATGAAATGAAGAGGGCTAATATTATGACAGGTGGTGCAGAATTTTCCAACAAATTTCTTAAATTTTAATTAATGAAAAGTCAATTTTTATTTTGGCTGAGATATCCATATGAAGGTTACTAATCCCATCTGATGCAAGACTCGATATTCTCATGAAAGAGGGACTTCAGCGATACTACTTCCATGATTTCTCGGCATAATGGAACCTCCCGTGATCGTGGGATGCAATCCTGCTTGAGATGTAGTCCTAGTTCAATTTCAACAATTTTTTTTTAATTTTTTGGTTTGTTGCCTATATCTCATTTTTTAGTTAGGTTATATCTTATTAGGAAACTTCTATATATGTTGTATGGTGACTCTTTGGATTTCAGTTTTCTGATTTTATGATTTTTGAGCGTTTATTATCTAATTTTTTAGTTAGTTATATCCTATGGCAAGTGGCGTGTCTATAGCTTGCTTAAGAATAGGTGGCGGATCTTCCTCGCCAACAGTATTTAATGTTAATGTTTTCATTCAGGAAGTTAATCTTAAAATAAAGTTTACTTGAATTAGAAAGTACGTGAGGTTGAGGAGATTATAGTTTTGAAATTTGAAGGGAGAAAGTGAAGACTTATGCGAGGAAGCTAACCAAATCTTTTTAGGTAATGATTAATATAATTATTTATTTGTGTTATTTTAATTGTATGTCATTAGATAAATTAAGTATTTTTTTAAGGATAGATTTCTTATCAAATGTTATTGACATTCTTTTAATGTTGGTTGTTGTCCAAAGAAGTTAGTTGAGGAGAAATATTTTAGGGGTATCTCGAAAGCAAAGGTGAATAATTATTTTCTTATATGTGTTAAATTTAAAGTTTATTCAATAAAGAATTTTTTTAATGCCTTAGACAATTATTTTATGCACGTTGTAGCTTACAAATTAAAGAAAATGTATTAGAAAAGGGAAAATGAATTTTTAATGTTTTTAAAAGGAGATAATTTAAAAGCAAATGAAATGATAGTTAAATGTTTAAGTTATACTGGATAATCTCTAGATAGTAATGACAGAGGATGCAATGTATCCGTGCTTGTTAAAGAAAATAATAAAAATGTATATTTGGGTACAATTTAAAGGTGCCTTCGGGCACATTTTTTATGATACCTTCGGGTATGACTATCATCATGTGATGACTATTAAAAGTGATAAATTTGTAAATACTTAAAGTAAAATGAGAATAGATAAACTTAAAGTTTTAATGAAATAAACTGCATTTTTTTTTTGTCATTCATGCATAACATAACATAAGAATTTAATGCATATTAGATTATAATTACTCACGAAGTTATACTTACAATAGAAGTTAATGTTTTCTTTCAGGAGAAGAAAATTTTAGGTTCATATGTCTGATAGAAGAGACTTAGTTTACAGGAGGAGGACTACTGTTGCTATGTAGATTGGTTAAGATAGTTCTCTTTACCATTTATTCCAGACATTGATATATTGTTTAATACTGGCTTGAGATGCTATTTTTGGATGTTATTATTTTCGGATGCTTTGATTTTATTGCATTTTATAGATTAGTGACTCTATTATATGTATTGAAAGTTATAAAAATGTGGATAGATGTTAATATCATCCGATCACTATTCCCGTCTTATTTAATTCTAAGTGTCGGGTTAGGTCGTGACAGTTCCCTAGAACAAGTGAGTTAAATTGAAAGTCATCAAACTCAGGAAGAATGTTTCTTTGTGGTGGGAGAACTTGATGTGTATTCAATAGCTGGAATGGGAAGAGTAAGATCATCATCAGCTGTAAGATGATAAGGGAGATGCAGTGCAAATACCTTTTTCTATATTACCGTATGTTCATAAAATTTCACTACCCATGCCAAAGAGTTTCTTCTGTAGAAGAGTACACAACTGAATTTGATCAAATCATGTTGAAATGTGAATTAATGGAACCGGATAAGCACATTGTAGTGAGTTATTTTGGAGGATTGAGACCTTCAATTGACAATGTGATATAGTTACAATCTTATTGGATATCACAGGATTTTCATATCTCAGCCTTGAAAGTGAGAGACAACACAACAATATTGAGTCCCCACCACCCTTAAAATAGAGTTTAGCCATCGAATCAGACAGTAAGAGTATACCTAGTAGAGCACCCAAGCTAATTCCATCAAAAGAGAAGCTAATCTAGAGTAGATAAAACGTGGAGCCCACTAATACCCCCAAATTCATTCTAGCTTGGAAGTGCTTCAAGTGTCATGACTTTGGGCACACTGGGTCTGAATGCTCAAACAGAGGGATGCTCTATTTTATTGAGCTGGGAGCCGTTGGAGAAATTGATAGTGACACAAGAGAATAAGAATGTCAAAGAGGACTATCTATTTCCACTTGACGAGGGAGACCACTTGACGAGGGAGACCACTTGACGAGGGAGAGATACTAGTAATTCAATAGGTTCTTGAGGCTGAGCTTGTGATAGAAGTTCCAACAAGATTAACATTTTTCGTCCTAAATGATAGTGAGCCCAAGAGTTGATACTGGACACATAGAAACCCCAACTAAGTGAATTTTAGGATTGTCTGACGTATAACCTGCCCGTTAAGGTTGCCACTACTGAGGGTGGTCTAAAATTCCATAGATTTCATTCTAGGATCAGTTCCACTAGATAAACTTGTTTATCATATATTCCCTTCTGAGTATGAGTGGGAAAAATATGTTTTATATTTAATGACTTGACGCTTGATTTGTGAGAATACCCGTCTACGTGCAGTTTCAGCTCTAGTTGTGCCAAAAGTGAATGGTTATTTATTCTATCAGGATATACTTTGGAATGACATGTATTTTAGAGTTGTTTGAGATGGATGTGAGCGTAGATTTTATATTGGAGTTATCTCTGACACAACAATATAATAACTTCATTATGATTATGACAGGTCGATCCCAGAAGCTTCCTGAGAGGAGGACAAAAATCCTACCCTTGGAGAGTGGTTCGGGATTTGATATTATCACGAAAGCGGGACTTTCGCGGTATCACTTGCGCTTTTTTGTTGGATCGTGGAACCTTCCACGATCGTAGGATGACATCCTGCTCGGGATGAAGTCTCAGTTCAATTTCAGCAATTTTTTTTCCTTATTTTGTTTATTTTTTCTATTTTTTATTTTCTAATTAGGTTATTTCCTATGAAGAAGTTTTTATATATGTTGTCTGGTGGCTGTTTGGATTTTTGTTTTTCTGTTTTATAAATTTTAAGTTTTTTCTCTTATTTTCTGCTCTTTGGAGTGTTGTATCATCTTCTTGTTACAAGTTGTGTGTTTTAGCTTGCTTGGCACAGGTGGTGGATCAATCTCACCACCCGTGCCACTCTTTACTGCTATTTTCAGTTCTGATAGCCGTCGAATGCGCTGAATATGCTGTGCAACAGCAATTTCATCTCATATACCCTTCGAAACATTGTTATCCTCCCCTATTATTTGTTCTTTGCTGTTCCACAACCACCCTATCACTATATCTGCTTCCCAAACAACTTCTAGAAGGCCCAGAACAATACCGCCTTTCTTTTAGTAGAAGATAGATATTGAAATGAAAGAAACTTTTAAGCAAAACAATTTCTCAAAAAAAACTCGGTTTGAGAAATAATCTATGCAGTGCACCTTATTTTTTTAGTTTTTGTACTGTACTGATGCTCTCTTGTCTGTCAGGAACGGGCCTCATAAATACGCAAACTGAGAGTTTATACATCGTTTAACTCAATACTTTGGAATGATAATTTTTCTGATAGCTATAATGTGTGATTTTTGTGTATAGCTTGGATAGTTCTCATTTTTAATTCCACTCTTATCATTGTTCTTCTTGCAGAGGCCGTGAGGGATGCTATCGAGTCTTTAAGAGGCAGTGGTGTAAAATCCTTTGTGTTGGATCTTCGAGATAACAGGTGATTTGTAGCATGTATCAGTACCAATTTAACTTGCATATTGATTTGTCTACTGTGGTTGATGCAGTGGTGGATTGTTTGCTGAAGGTATTGAAACTGCTAAGATTTGGTAAGTATTTTTTTTCTTTGCGGCATTAACATATATGCTAACCATTTCCTTTGTATTTACATAACCTAAACTTAGATTTTTACATTGCCACCTAAATATTTCATATCACATAAAAAATACCACGATTTTAACTTTAAAAAGTGAAATACAACTCATCCATGTGTAAGTTTGTATGTATGTGCATTTTGAAGTTTAGGTGCTAGATATGTAAATGCATAAGAATTGAGTGGTATGTATGTAAATCTTCCTTTCTTTTCTACTGTTTGTCATATCTTGGTTTTTAGCTATCGTTCTTTCACTTTTTATTCTATTTGTATGCGAATTAATATGCACGAGCCCAATCTCTGCAAAAGTCATGTGTAGGTATCAATGAATAAATAGATAGAGCATTTTGAAGGTAGGTCCAGTAGCCGTGTTAAAATAATGAAATTAGTGCGATAACTGCCCTAGTTTGGTGATCTCATAACCAGCTCTGGAAATTTTGACAATATGCCAGATTGCTTTTGCAGGGAATGTTAAACTCTAACACTAGCAAGGCTTTTTTTTTTTTTTTTTTTTTTTTTTTTTTTTTTTTTTTTTTTTTTTCGTAGTGCACAGGATACGCATGCTTGAAGCCTTTACTTTGTGGAATAAAAGGATGTATGCTCGTCTTTTTTTTTTTTTTGCAAATTTTTAAAATTTACTTAATGATGCTGAAAAAATTTGGGATAGAAAGCATCATTTAATTCGGAAGTCAGTATATAGGAACTTTATATTTGTTATGAGATCCGTCTAATAGAATAAGGAAAGATTTTGGTTCTTATAGCGTATTATTTATGGTAGATTATGCTATGATTTATGACCAAATAAATTGTTAACGCTTTTGCTTTTTCTGTTTTAAGATGGCCCAGAATAAAAGGCGATTACAGTTTTGCAAAACCATCTTGGTCAAAGGAGTCCTGTTATTGGCTAATGGATTGCACATTGCTGATAAATTTTTTATGTGCTAAGGGTGCATTTTCAATTTTCCGAGTTGGTGCAATTGAAGCACCTCTTATTCAAACATTCTTCTTTTAATTTATTGTGTTAACTCCTGTTGCCTTGCTAGCCTTTCTAGCCTTGCTAGTGTTGGAGTTCTCAGAATATTAACTTCACTCAAAAGCATAAATTTGCGTCTTCTCTATTTAAAAATCTGGAACAACGGGATAGTATTTGAAATTTGATTCATAATATAATAGGTGGTTATTTCTCAAATAAATAATTTCAGTAATGCCAATGTTTTTATGAGTTCATTTTCAGAGATTTGACGTTTATCAGACTGCTACTGATCTTCCTTTTATAAATGTAACGCTAGTTTTTGGTTGTGCTTGTATTATTTTCTGGGGCTAAATCTGCCATTTCAAGTTGCTGTATTGATTTTGCTCTTTATCGTTGAACCCATTTGTGGTGTTTGTGATTGCTTTTTGAAAGTGTGATTTATATATGTGACTCGTTGACCTATATTGAAATTTTTTGTTGATCAGGTTGGAAAAAGGTGTAATTGTTTATATTTGCGATAGCCGTGGAGTCCGTGATATATATGAGACAGATGGAAGCAATGCCATTGCTGCATCAGAGCCTCTGATTGTGTTGGTATGGCTTTTCTTTAGATGAAACTTGCCGAAAACATAGAAGATTTTTTTTAATTCTATTTAATGGATTTAATTTTGATTGGTGATGTTGCTAGCATGAGGGCTAATGCTAATTTAATTTAGATTATGGTTTACATCTATTGGAAGGCTCAATGCTTAATCATGATTCGAAAGGCTTGTTACTTCTGTGCTTACCCAGATTAATTGGGTTTGAATGAGGCTTACATTTGGAACTTGAAATTTTGATTTAATTGGTTTGTTTGTTTTGCATTGTTCTCAATTAATAGGCATGAGAATATGTCATTTAGGTTTCTTATTTGGTATTAAGAATCCTCGCATTTTGAGAATGCAGTGTAAATTAATACTACCTTTTGATTCATTAAGGTTGTTTGGTCAGTTGTAAAATAAATACAAGAAATTTTTTTTTATGTTTGGTTTGTTATAAAATGAATTCAATTTTTTAATCAATAATTTAAATTTTTAATAAATATTTTCACAATATTAATATAAATTAAAAAAATAGTTTATTTCTAGGGCACGTATATGTAGGATTTAGGGTACGACATGGGGGCGGTGATGTGAGTTAGCTGGTGCCGAGTTGTGGAGTAGCGTTGGGATCAAGTTCGGGGCATGAGACAGTGACATGTACTTGTGGGAAGGGTCATTGGTTGGAAGTTAGTTCTGGCATGGGGCACAACATCGCATTTGACAATCATTGACAATGTTGTTTTTAGGGGTGTTATGTGTCAGGGACAGTTGCATTTGGAATTTGCTCGATTTGGAATTCATAAAATAAATAATCCTTTTAGAGTATTACAATTTCTCTAGAAAAATACTTTACATTTTTTTATGTAATACCGAATTAAAAAAAAAAATCAAAACCCATGCTCTCTTTTGAAATATGGAACTTATTGTTCTATTTCTGAGTTGTCCAGAAGGCTAGGTTTTATAGTTTTGCCTGCTCACATATGAGACTTATGATTTGTATATTGGAATTATCTCAATATTAGTTCTTATGAACTTGCTATATGGGCAAGGCAATAACACCCTATCTACCTCTAGTTAGAGGTTATGGGTGTATCAACAAAGTTTTAATCGCACAATGACCATACATTCTTCTACCAAATGACTATGAAGTTATCGCAAGGCGTTTTTTAAGCATGACAATCGATGTTGAGCATTCATCTCGGTTTAATTTGGTTTAAGATGAATGGTGGGAGGCTTAGCTTTGACTCGATAAAAATTCCTCTAGCTTAGCCTAATCAAGATCATAGAGGCGTCCTTAAAACTAATCGGATTGAAGATCAATGACCTTATAATTTAGCCGAATTGAAGATCAGCAATTGTTTTTTTTTTTACTTGCTTTTGTGTGCGATGGAATTGTTTTTTTGAGAGAGGACTTGCACATAATGAAGTTAGAAGGTGTGAGATTGGAGGGTGTTATGTTGTTGGTCACATGGAATTTGAGTTCATTATTGTTGATTTTTTTATTGGGAGCAAAGCGAAGAGAGTTATGAACTCTAGGCTAGCACTGAAGGGAGATAGGGCTAAGTTGCGAAGTAATGTAGACCAGGATTATCGGTAATGTGGCGGGGTCTTATTCTGCACTGAGGTGCAACAATGAGAGTATTTTAGCAAGAGAGTAGGGAGCAAACTGGTTGTTGGTGAGGTGGACTAGAGGATCACAGCAGATGCACTATAAAGGGGGCATAGGGGCAGAAGGGCTAGGGAACAGAATGAAAGAGAGGTTGGTGTGTTAGTGTTAGATGGGAGTATAAGAGGACATGGGTGAGTAATGGGAGAGAATGTGAACAAGAGAGATGCACACAAAGTAGGCTAAAACAGGCAAAACCAGGAGAGGGTCTTAAGCAAAGGTTTGGTGCCTTGTATGCTCGAGACTTGTGTGAAGGCTGATTGTGTGGCTAGCATGGAGATCATGTTGGAGATTCATGAGTTTTCGCTTGGGCCATGGAGGAAACTTAAACAGGTCACTCGGGTGTGCGAAATTTTTATTGTAAACTAGAATTGAAGAACACTACTTGGAAATTGAATCAGAGCGGTTGAGAGAAGGGGATTAGAAAAGGGATGAGTGAACTCAACCAATTTTTTTGTGTAGTGCTGTATTCTTACTAATTCAACTTCAAATTGTTAACGTCCGTGTTATTAATGATTGGGATGAACTAAACTGTTTGGTTTCTTTTTAAAGCTTGCATGGTACAGTGAAATCTAAATAAACATTTGATTTAAACTGTAGCACTCAGTAGGCACCAGCTTATGCGGTCTGTCCATTTTGGTGGACTGGGATTTTGGTTTCCTGCGTTTAGAAACTACACAATTGTAGGCTTTGGCCATGTTCTGTTTGCTGCATGACTTTGCCTTTGCTTAAATATTCTTTTTGTGTGTATTCCATGATAAAAGTTTGACTGGAAAAATTTGAAATTATTTTTTTATTATGCATATTTCAATTTGAAAATATGAATGGTAATGTTTTACAACCGCGTTGCAGATTCTTTACTAAATAAGTAAAACTGTATGCTTCATGTCTTAGGTGAATAGAGGAACTGCTAGTGCCAGTGAGATACTAGCTGGAGCCCTTAAAGATAATAGGCGAGCTGTCTTATATGGGGAGCGTACATTTGGAAAAGGGTAATCAATTTTCTTTTTATGATTAAACCCTCGAAACTGTCTTTATTAGTTTGGCTTATAATTTACTGTACATAGGAAAATACAGTCAGTTTTTGAACTTTCTGATGGCTCTGGCTTGGCTGTCACAGTAGCACGCTATGAAACTCCTGGTCATACTGACATTGACAAGGTTTGTACTTTACATTTCTAAGCCACAGCTACATATATTATTATTCTTATTTATTAATATATTATCATCCTAATATAGTAAACAATAACAAAATTTTGCAAAAAATTAATATTTTTACATCCAAGTATCAAATAAAATAAGGAGGGCTATTCATACAGTGTAGTAAGACAATACAATATTATTAATTCAAAATAGTTTCAACACATATACTCCGTCTCCCACTCCTATTATCCCTATCAATAAGAATGTAACAAGCCACCAAGATTAGAATTTCTAAATTCAAAAGGTGTCATCACTCTCATACTAAATGGATCTTCATTAGAATTATCCGCACAATGATTTGTTTTCTCCACCGCCCCATCCTTAGTTCTCAATTTTCTCCCATTTATCTACCTCATCTTCAATCTCAATCACTTCCTCTATCTAACTAATGACAATTAATAAGAATAATAATTTAAATTTTAAAACAATGACTATGTTGATGTTCAACTTCAATTACATCTCAATTGAATATTATTTGGTAATAAATATTTTTGTAATGTTTTTTCATTTGTATTTATTTTAAAGAAAATCATGGATCTAATTGCACACACCTTAGCAAAATTGAAGTGAGGTGTGCCTTACACTATGTGAGACCCTCATGTTGTATCAAATGAGATGCAATTTTTTTTTAAACTTTTCAAAAATCATAGAGACGAGCCTCAAAGCGCACCTCATTGTTTAGAAGTTACAAACTTTGGGATTAGAATGATCTCATTTAACACTTCTCATTTTTTTTTATATATTTCATCTGAACCTCCATGAAGCTCCAATTTCAAACTTGATATCAGGTCGGAATCATCCCTGACCACACTCTTCCTCCATCATGTCCTCTTGACGAGGATTCATTCTGTGGCAGCCTCATAGATCCAGCTTCAGCCTGCAACATTAACACCGCTGCTCTTTTTTCCAGGTGACTGCCATTAAACTTTTGTACTCACAGAAGATTTACATACATACCACTTAATTCTTATATATTTACAAATCTAACACTTGAACTTCAATTTATACATATATGCCATCTTACACATGTTAGATATGTAAATACATAGGAATTGGGTGGCCTTTATGTAAATTGCCCCTATAGTTATTTGTTGGTTAGTTTCATTTGTCATTTTGTTGATGTGCCTGTTATTCTCTGTATCAGAAGGTTAAAAAGTTAATTGAAGGGCATGTACCTGCTGTGACGCTTCAACATGGCCGGTATTTGTACGTGTTGGTATTTTATTCAAAGGGGATTTAATTGGACGTCTGGTTGTTTAATTCATATGATAGTTATTTAAATTTAAGGGCCGATTTGGGCCATTTTTTTTTTATTTGGGATAATTACATTCAGACCAGCCAAAATATTGATATTTATAAATTAAACCCTCGATGTGATTATTTTTGTACTACCGAATCGATATATTTATGATTTTTAATTTTTTTTTATTTTTTTATTTTATTTATGTTTTAATTTGAAATAGAATGTTTCTAATATTTCAAAACATATTTAGTTATTTAAAAAAAATAATTAAAATATTTAAATTTTGTTTATATTTTTTAAAAAAGCTTACTTCTGTTTAAAAATATATATAAAAACATGTGAATTATTTTTAAAATCTTAACAGCCCCTTATTATTTAAAATACTCTTGTTAAGATTTAATATCAAGCCCTTAACATGATTTTTTTTTCTCAAAATGCTTAATTTGTGGCTTGTAGATACGAAATATATTTTTTTTAAAAAAATCACGTGCTTTCAATGTGTATATTCACTGTAGGATTATTTATTTTGTTGAGAAAAGAACGTAGAATAAAATAAATCTAGTATTAGTTAAATATAGTGTATTAAAATTGTTTGTTGTTTGGCTGTGTATATTTAGTTTATTTTACGCCCCATCTCTGTCATTAGATTGCTATAGACCAAACAATGTTGTCCAACTATCGCTGTTAAATTGTCGTCATTGAATGTATGTCAATTGATAATCCTGACCTGATCGCTATGATCGGATTGCCACTGCTCAACTATTTATGTTGAGACATCGTCATCTAACATCCTTTACAGAAATGCCAATCGATCATACCTATCAAATCATTATTATCAAATTATGATTTGTCGATCTTTGTCGTTCGATTATAATCTCATGAGTTGACCGCTGTTGTTTGATTATTGTCACTTGATAACCATCATCTCACTTTAGTCATTCAATTGACATCATCGAATTATAATTGTTGAGCACAACTGCCCAATTATGGTATCCCAACTACCAACACTTGATGAAGACAACCCAAGCACCATTGTCTCTTATATTCATTTAACCATCATCGCTCATCTACAATCACTCCACTACCATGATTGGATTGCCACTGCCAACCCACTAGTATCAAATCATGGTCACTTGATCATCATTATTGGATGCCTCCACACATTCATCATTAGATTTTCGCTGCCTAGGGTTTAATGTAGATAAAAGCTATCAACAACTACCATCATTTGACATACATCATCTTATCTTTGTGGCATCCATCATTTTATTGTTGCGGCGCATTGATTGTTGTCTATTTGTTGTCGCCCAAGCATTATCTTTCAACTAAATCTTCCTGTCATCATCACCCAATCACGGTCGCTTAGGGTTTAGATCATCAAAATCATCAATGCCCAACTGTGGTTTCTTGATCATATTCACTTGCCTAGAGTCTTTCAACCGTTATAATCGCTTAATCATTATTGATTGCATCACTATTGTCGTCTATTTTTTTTCTTAACTCGACTATCAGAGATTTAACAATCATTATATGAGAAAACTATTTTGATGAGATATTCAACAAACTAAAACTTTCATTCTCTCACAAACTTTATAAATTAATTCATGATGGAGCTCTTCAGAATATATTCATGAAAATTAAACATTTTTTATTTAACTAAAAACCAGAATTTAAACGAGAAAAAGCAATAAAAAATTTGTATCAAACAAGCACTATCATGGTTGACCTAGAATTTTCTATAGATGCGAGAAAGATAAGACCCACCTCTTCACCTTCATCCATGAGATTTTTTATTCTTCCCCATTTCTCTTCTCTTCCAACGTTGGCTTGCACATTGCACATCCCTAATAATCTCAACCTTTAATTTGTCAACATCGAGAGAAACACCACCTCTGAATTCTTGTTCAAACCCATAAAAATCCCTTTTTTGAAACTCTCGTTTAGCCTGAACGTCTTTTTCGAAGGTAAAAGATCAAAATCTTCAAAAGTGAGCATCTCATCTGAATTCTTGCTAAGCTGCATAAAAACTCGATCTTTGGGGCATTCGGATAGATTCTTTGTGAAAACAATAAGAGAGATAAAAGATGATAAAGCCACAAAATTTGAATGGAGAAAGGAAGAGTTGGACTGGTGGTTTAATCATAGCTTCCCTTTCATTTTTCAGGTTGTTCAGGTTCCGGACGCAATATTTTTTCTTTCAGCCAGCTCCTCATGTTAGCAAACCTAAAAAGGAGACTAAAATTTCAAGCTGTAAAAATCTCTCCCACCCCCCAAATTACCAACTTTAAACATCCACAACCCAATATTAGCCAAGAAAGCACATACAAATCCCTCCCAACATTCCTCTCCAACCACCACTTAAATCTCTCATCCTCCCCCATTACTCTGTCATGTCGATCCCCCCCTCTCCTCCCTTAGCACCAACATGATGTCCCATCGCCGACACCATCACCATCACCTACCCTCTTCCACCTCCTCCTACTCACCGTCCTCTCCGTCTAAGATCTAAAGCCCACTGCACTAAAACCCTAGCTTATGCCCAAGCATGGATCCACCCGCACTATAAACTCCGAACTAGGGTTGATCGTATCGGCGAACAAACCCTATCTGGAATGATAGATTCATCTTCCGAATCGACTCTGATTTCCTTCGTTCCGACACCCCTGCCGTCACCATTGATATCAAGCGGATCTCCCGAATGGTCCTCCGGTCAGATCCGGTCATCGGAACGGCCAGGTTAGTCCTCAGCTCCGTGAATCCATCACTGGTATCCCGATTTGTGGCGGTTCAGGTCTGACGGCCGAAATCGTTACGACCTTAGGGAATATTGAATTTGGGGGTGGCGGTGTGCTCGAAAACTGAGGCGGCGAGGGAATTTGTTGTTGTTCGGCCGATGAGTTGGAGTAGGAAAGGGGAAGAGGGGGTGTTGGAAAAGGGCGGGGAGGTGGGGGGTTGATAAGGAGAGGAATGTGTTGCAGTTGAAGTGGGAGAAGCGGAGGACGGAGATCTCGCCGGCGATTGTGGATCAGCATGGCAAGGCAGGGAAGGAGGAGCGTGAAAGGTTGTTTAGGTTCTTCTCCTGCGGCGGAAGGAGTGAGGATTGAGTGCGAGAGGTGGGTGGTGATTTGGCCAATCTTGTTTGATTTATGAAACCTTTTTAACGGATTTTTTTTTTGGATTTACATATTATGCTTCATATAGCAAATAAAATTCAATTTTTTTTAAATTTGATCTGAGATCAATTTCATATTTGATTCTATATTGTGTTTGTCTTGTTTTAATTTTGATAGAATAACTATTTATTAGTTATATTTAAGTAGTTACACCTTATAAAATGACGGTATTTTTCTAGTTATATGATGCGTGCTAGAAAATTCACAGCACTAGAGTATCAGATTATTGTCTTAGCGTAGTAGGAAGATTCAACACACTCAAAAAAGAGAACAAATAGTAGTGACACCATAAGTTTTAAGTGTAAAACCCGTAAAGGGAAAAAACCACGGGTTTTAGCCTAGCTGAAAAAATCCATCATAAACTGGATATTACATGTACAGTTCCTTGTCTCACGGGTGAGAAAGGGTTGAACAATCTTCGAAGTTACAATGTCGGTGCATGAGTAAATTTGTTATAAGAAATGGGTGGCGGTCGATGGAGATTGGTGGAGGCTGGCAGGTGGTGGTCGAAGGCGGTGTTTACACAATAGGTCAAATGCATTCCTCTACTTCAACCAACCAACTTGAATTTTGCTAGTAGCATCCTCATCTATATCACCATCACTTTGAACAATAGACCTGAGGTCTACAACGTTTAGAAATATTAATGATTTGATCGCTCATAGTTAAAACCCTGCCTCTAGAGCTACTATTACTAAAATTATATTTCATGTATTCAGTTTTAGTTCTACTAAAATGAAGGCCTTTAGAAAATGAAGGTTCTACTAAAATGAAGGCCTTTAGACTCCAATGTAGACCTCCATAATTCAAGTTTTTCTTGAACGCATTCTCTAGTTTTACCCACAAAAAGGATGTCATCAACGAAAAGCTCCATCCAAGGTACATCCTTCTGTAAATGTCTGGTAAGAGCGTCCATAACTAAACAAAAAAAAAGAAAATTGATCATTGATGTACTTTAACTGAAATAGGAAAATACTTGGTCAATCATTCTTCTGTTCGAACACAAGTAACCACTTCTTTTTTAATCACTACAATAACTATAGGAGTCCAAAATGTTTCATTTGTCATTCCATCATACCTAATTATAGAGGTCAGGAAACTAGCATATATAGCCTCATATGTATAATCAATTGGGTCACATTTCCTCTTATTTTCTTTCTAAAATTTTCACCAAAAAAAAACTATATTTTCTATTGAGAACTTTTTAATTATGTGATTAATAGATTTTTATACAATGCTAAGACATTACTCTCGTAGTCTATTATTTTGAATATTGTATTGCACGACATAGATACTCTATACTTTTAGATTTTTAAGTTTTCCACTATGTTTCTTTCATTTCATCACACCTTCAATTATACTTTTAATCAAAACAATAATTAAACCACCCAAAGGGATGAATTTTCTTCCTCCAAAACTAACGGCCCGTTTGGGGCAGCTTAAAACTGCGGTGGGGTTTTTTAAAACGCCGCCTTTATGTTTGGTTCGCACGTTTTACTTGTGTTTGCCCAAACACCGATTTACAGTGTTCCATTATTTCTATTAGACGCGGATCGCGGGTATAACCCCGCGATCCAGCGTTTGAGTGAAGCATTTACGCCCCTGGCTTCAAACATGATCCGTCTAGCGCTCTGCCGAAGCTAATCCCTGCCGAAGGAAGTCACTGCCGAAGGAAATACTCCTACCTCTCCACTGCTCATCCCTGCCGAATGAAGCCGCAAGCAACGCTCCTACCTCTCCGCTGAGGAAGCTCACCGCTGCTAGAAGCTCATTCCTGCCGAAGCAAACCGCAAGCAACGTTCCTACCTCTCCGCTGCTCATCCCTGCCGAAGGAAGTGCACCGCTGCTCATCCCTGTCGTAGGGAGCCGCAAGCAACGCTCCTACCTCTCTGCTGCTCATCCCTGTCGAAGGAAGCCCATCCTTGCCGAAAGAAGCTCATCCTTGTCGAAGGAAGCCGCAAGCAACGCTCCTACCTCTCTGCTGTTCATCACTGTCGAAGGAAGCTCACCGCTGCTCATCCCTGTCGAAGGAAGCCGCAAGCAACGCTCCTACCTCTCCGCTGCTCATCACTGTCGAAGGTAGCTCTGATTTTTTTTGGTTAACGATTTACCTCTGGTTTTTTTTGTAGTAAAATTTCCTTATTTACTCGAGTGATTTACCTCTTTTCTTTTGTTCATGCTTCATTTACAATTTTCTTTTTTGAGACTGCTGAAAGTAAAATTTAAGTGTTATATATGTAAATACATTGGAAATTTGTGGTATGAGTGTAAAAATGAAATTTTGATGTGTGATATTCCTTAAGAATTGAGTGCTATATATGTAAAAATGAAAGTTTTTTTGGATTTGAGTATATTGAATGTGTTCCATTATATTACTGTTGCGAACAGCTCCACTGTACGTGGACAACTCAACTGTACGTCTAAAATAATCATTTTTCCACAAACAACTGCAAATCAGTTGTTCTCAAACCGCAGAAACCAAACAGTGTAACAGTTTATTCAATTCAGATGCAAAATAGTCATTTATCCAGAAACAGCTGCAAATCAATTGTTTTTCAAACGCACAAACCAAACAACCAGCAAGCTTATTCGGACCAGCTGCTCATCAACAGATTATCAGGATCAGCTATTTATCAGCAGAAGCTAGATAAGCTGCAGCTGCCCCAAACATACCCTCAATCACAACCCATGATAAATTAGTAGTCCTATGTACTTATTAAACATGCTGCCTTCAATGAAGTGATATCTCTTCCAGCAAATAATCAATTATGAAGTGAAAATATTTGCTTTATTTCAAGCCACCAACCTCAATAGCATCTTTCAATCTAAAACTCTAATTTACACTAACCTTTATTCAAACATTCTAAATCAACATTTTTGTGGGCGGTTCATCGCGCAAGTTAAATAAATCATATATGACCAAGTGGCCGTGTTCGCCGAAGATTTTGTCAGCCATTTTCATGTTGGTAATAAAGGTCTATAAGTAATGGATTGAGTATAATTGTAGAAGCTTTGGTTAATATGCTATAAATGGCATGGTGCTTAAATTTGTAATTTGAAAGCACCTCTACTCATGCATGTTCGCGAACAACTCCCCACAACTAAATCCAAGAACATATTGCATTTTTTATTTAAGCAATCTCTAAGAATATAAAAAATAGAAAAATAAAAAAAAAGAGCAAAAAATTAAACACCCAAATTTTACCAATAGAAACAATTCAACCAAATTAATTTTTCATTTCATCCAAACAATGCACAGCAAATCTATCTTCATATAAATTGAAAACATCCTTTTCAAAAGCAGTAGAGAATAGATATCCAAATAAATAGGGCATTTTCATACATACCATACCACACAAGTCTAGTCAATTTATATCTAGCACTTCAGCATTCATATTTACATGCATACCACACTTAAACCTTTAATATCACATCAAAAATATCACCACCACCATCTATTTGAAGAATGTAAAATACACATTTTCAAACACAAGTTTATGCATCAAAATGCTGTGTAAAAATCAAACTTTGGATGTTGGATATGTAAAAACATAAGAATTGTGTGCATGTATGTAAATTCCCCTCACTCCCATGCCCGCAAAAGAAAAACGTCCAACTCAATACCAACCCACAAAATTCATATGTAAAGTGAAATACAAATGTAAACATAGATTCATGACGCCAAAATTCTATAATAATACATATTAAAATTTAGGTGTTGTAAATACATAAGAAAGGTGTGGTGCGCAAGCAAATATCTAAAAAAAAGTTTACCCAAACAACAGGTAGAAAAACATCACCAGTTCGGGAGTCTCAACAGTTCAACAGTTCAGCACTTCACATTAAAAAGGCAAACATTCATTCAAAATTACAATGATGAATTAGAAATAACAGCAAATCTAAAATACTGAAATCCTTCGCCAAATATCTCAAAAGTTTACAGTACTATGTTTCAGGTCATATAGGCAAATTGAAAAATTAAAGAGCACATAAAAACAACAAAACATAGATACCTGCTGTAAAGCAGAGTTATAAAATCGCAATTGGAAATGTTTAAAATGAGCTGGGCGCAGCAGCAGCAGCCCTCTTCCTCGGTGTAGCTTGTGTTCCTGCGGGTGATACATAAAATTTCATATTTTGCATCCTTGGATTATAATTAGTACAGATTATCACCAATTACATAATCGAACAAAAAGAAAATTTCAAAAAGATCAAAAACATTCTAAACATTCTATAAAAAGTTGTGCACGCTACATTGTTACCTTCTCTAAAGTTGCTTTTAAACCTTCGTGGTAAATGGCGGAGGTACCTCATCCTCCCTGTGCCAGTTGTCTTCCGCCTTATTGCTTTGATGCTCCAATTGTCTGATCATACAAAAAGGTTAGGTTCAGCCTACCATCATTCTTTAAAATGTATGTCAGATCATACGAAAAGCTATTTACTGAAAGAACCTGAAAGTGACCAGGTGATTTAAAGTATAAATGGCTAAATTTAGAGAAAACGGGTAATTATTCATTATATTGTGAATAAGCGTGTTTAAAAACGCGCTATTTGGCCAAGCTTACCAATGAAATTTGCATATAATGACATTTTCATAAATAAATCAAACAAACTGAAACAAAACTATCAACAAACAGAATTGGTTGAATTAAAGGTTCATCTTGAGTATAAAATAAAGGTCACAGGAGAAAAGAGCTGTTACCATAGAAAGCGTGAAAAATATTAGAACTCCCTGGTGCTGATAGCATAAACAATAGGATACACAAAGTAGCCTAAATAAGCAGGATTATCAATGCTGTAGCTGCTTATTGACAGTAAAAAAATATGCAAATTGTTACAATATCCTTTGTAACGTCCAGGCTGTGACAGATTTCACCAATTACAAGCAGGTGAGGTTGATAATGTTTTTTTTTTTTTTTCGTGAAAAGATGATGGAAAAAATAGACTAACTTAATGAGGCAACTGAATATATAAAAAAAAAAAAACCAGCCATTTCACGATCATCAAAACATCCAGCATCTAATAATTTAGATAATTAAGTAAGTACTATGAGAGGAAATTTCAGTTAAGCGTGATATTTTAAATTTTGATTAAATGGGAAACATTAAATGCAAATATGATAAAATCTTAGTAAGGAATAAAAAGACAGCAAAAGAAAAAAGTAACTGCAATAAATATTGAATGTTTTATAAAAAAAATAATTAAAAGAATGATTTATATTATTGATTGCCTCAAAAAAAGGAATTAGCATGGAATGAGAGAAGGAAGCTGAAGATGTTACAGACTGATAAAAAGACAAATTTATAAATCATACAAGAGAGTTGTAGACGAAAATAATGAGATAATAACTCAAATGTATATTATATAAACATCAAAAAATCAATTTATTTTGATCGCATGAGCATTTATTATGGAAGTAATTTCACCGCAACAATTAACAATGAAAAGTACGGAGAACAGAAGTGATAATTCATATGACTTGTTTTTAGCTCAGGAGGATGTATAAACGAGAAATTCCATTCTTAAAGAGATTTGTGAAAAATATCATGAGAATGGAAAAGGTATATCATGCAATTTTTATTGATCTTGGAAACACATTCAAAAACAACATCAGAATAGATCGTAGCACTAAAAAGAAAGCTGTGTCAAATGCATGTTTGAGTTGTCATTAAGGAAATATGTCACTATGTCAGGAAACATTTAGCATTACAAGCATACAATAAAAGAAAAAAAGAGTTTCCATTTAGAAAAGCATTACATCAAAGATATATTTCAAGTCTATATATATATATATATGGTCGAAGATGCTTAAGCTGGATATCAATAATCAGATACTATAGTGTATACATTTCATGAATGGCAAGTTTTAATTAGAGTTATTAAATCGAAGTTTCCTCTGAGAGACATCAAAATCTTGTTAATAAAACAACTAGTTAAACAAAACAAAAAAAGTGAAGAGAGGAAAAGTGAGAAAAAATAAACTAGAAAAAGAAGCTCAAGAAATTCATTATATTGCCGAAGAAAAAACAGATTTGAGTACAAATGACTCGGAGTTTCATAAGTGTCCCATTTTATTTATAGTTTAAGGCTTGGATTTGTTGCTACAGAAGAGGCATGAATTAAAAAATATATAGTCAAGCTTCCATTACGACACCACCGATGAAGCTTTCTACCACGCCAAGCCAGCCCAAATAATTTGAAGACTTAGTTTGGGCGTAAGGTTAAAAGGACAATTAAGTATTTTGTTATTTATTATTGTGCGAGCATTAATATGGCTAATGTGTTTAGGGTTAGGGTTATGATGAGATTGTTGTCTTGAGTCTTAAAGTTCAGAATTTGAGAGAGATCTCCTACCTCTCAAATTATAGGTGTTTATTTCTATGTATTTGAGTAGTATTGCTTGGAATGAATAAACTATTTTATTTACCCCATTTTTTTGTGGGAAAATTAGTTCGGTTCGTATCAAATTGGTATCAAAGAATTCAATTTGGGAAACCAACTTCTAGATCGCAATGTGTGATATAGTCGTGATTCGAGCCAGTGGGGATGCCAATGACAGAATTGTGTGTATTTGGAAGCCAATGACGAGATCTATACAGTTGCACGTGATCGTGGTGTATAGAACGGTTGCGATTTGACCTAGCTGGTAAGCTAACAGACAAGATCTCGACAGAAAAAGCCCCCATTTGTGACCTCAACGCGTGATAAAATCGCTATTGAATATAGCAGGTAATGTGGGATCACTGCGTGCAAATAGATCAACATTTTAGCCGAAGTATGATTCTTAGATAGAGTCACAAAACAATTAAATTTGTAGCAGAGAAGCCTACAGAAGGATCGTAGAGTACAAAGATCGAACTTCGTCATATAATCATAATCCGAAGCAAACGACGAAATTAAAAGAGTTATGAAACTGTAAAGAGAGTGATCGAAGCCAAGAAAGCAAAAGAAGAAAGAGGTAAGCAGGCTCGAGCAGCAGCGCATGGAAGAAATTGCGCAACAGGTAAGCGACTGAATCAAATGAAAGCGGGCAAAATTGAGCAAAAAAAGTTAGGAATGGATTCGACCGAGGACATCCAGAGAAATTACACGACATTTGAAGGTTTGGAACGAGGGGCGGCAGACAAAACGAGAAGACATACAATTTGATGCTGAAAAAGATTGATTCGAATGATTTTGACTTGGAACAAAAAACCGTTATGGATGGGACCCCGATGGAGGGTTGCATTCAACAATGCCAATGAATTTTAATGTTGCAACTTTCTGGGCGAAAGGCGATCCATGAGTAATGATGGGAACGAGAGAGTTCAAGAGCACATGAGAGTGCAAACGACTGACTTTGACAATGCATAGTATTCAGAAGGGAAGCAACATGGCGGTGCTTCACGATGATCCCAGTTTATACAAGACTGGCGACTCTCAAGATCATGGTAGATGCAATTCAGGACATAAGAATTGAATTCTTGATTGAGTTGCACGACATGAAATAGACACATGATACATTAGTTAGCAGAGATCCTGGTGATCGATAAATTACAAGATGACTAACTTTGGGATGCAGTATTCTCCAAGATTGATTTGAAATCAAGACACCATCAAAATCGAATGCGGTCGAAGGATGTGCACAATATGGCATTCCAAAATTATGTGGGTTACTACAAATTTATGAATAAATGGAAAAGCTTGTCATAGTATGACGCCACATGACAGTCAAACGATTTGATTTAGCAGCAATTTCATTTATTTTTCACCTTTAGGACAAGATGTCCTATAAGGAGGGGAGTACTGTTACGTTGGCACCAACGATGCTTTCCGCCATGTCGACCCCGCCCAATAATTCAAAGATTCATTTTAGGTGCAGGGCTAAAAGGTATTGTAGTGGTATAATAAAGCTAATGTGTTTAAGGTTGGGGTTATGATAAGATTGTTGTCTTTAATCATAAGTGTAGGGTTTGGGGGAGATCGTCGACCTCTCAAATTGTAGGTGATTATCTTTATCTATATGAGTTTTGTTACATAGTGTTAATGAAATAAAATATTTTGTTTGCCCTAATTTATGTGGGAAAATTTGTTGATTCATATTAGATTCTTGCTACTAAATATATAAGGCATATATCCAAAGAATATGAATATATATATATATATATATATATATATATACACAATATATAAAAAAAAGAGAAAATATAAAAAGATCCAAAAAGAAATGATGAAATTACGAAAGCATGCATGGTGATAATTGGCTAAAATTAAAACTAATATGAAGTCATTAACTTGCTTGATGAAATCACCAACTTGATTGGAGGAAGTCACAAACATTTTGAATGAGTGTTGGCAAGAAACTCTTTGGGTGGATCTAGTTAACCTTAGGTTGAGGGTGCTCTGACAAATTCACGATAGCCTTGGCAAGTTCACCACAATCTTAGCGAGTTCATCCCCAGTAAATTCACAATCTTTATCCTCCTTATTCTATCGAGGTTTCTTGAGCTAGACCCACTTTTCTTGAATCAAGCTTTCAAGATATTTAAATGTACATTTAATTCCACAATTCAATTGTATTTTTAAAAAATGACTCAAAAAAAAGATAATTATATAATAAGTCATTTTAAAGAAAATAAAGAATGATAGAAAAATTACTAGAATTTATTTTTCCCATGTATTAAACCATAGTTATAATATGCATGAAGAAAATCAATATAGTCGAGAAGTTCAACAAAGTTTAAAATGTTGATTATTACTAGCCACATAAGAAATAATGAGCCGACTTTAAATTAATCTCGATAAATGCAACTTGTTTTCAAGTATTAAGGCACTTGTTTTCTTTGGAAACTCGCATAGCAAAACTCACATCATTGAAACAATAGCCCGAGAGCATCAACTTCGCTACAATAAAGCATGACAGTAGAAATGTGATTGCACTTATAAGTCTATGAAAGCATGAGGCAAAGAACTTTGCATCAAAGAAACAAAAGTGGAACAAAGGAACACGAACGTCGAGAACGATTAATAGATTGAGAGCATTCTACAGCAAATGAAAGGCAAAAAAATTTCTTGAGACCTAAAATACTAATTACCAAAAAGTGCAGTTTTCAAGAAATGTCACATCAAACAAAAATATGTTTTCTTCAATACTGTTGAATAAAAACAAATTAATATATTTTTGAATTTTAAAACAATAGTGACTTCAAAATAAATAATGATCAAAACTAAGCAACAAGCCAAAGTCGCCATGTATAACAGCTAAGCATAAAAACTTTTAACCAAAATTTGTGCAAAAGCCTTCCATCACATAAAAATGGCAAGTTACAAAATACACGAAAGATTATTAGGGACAGCTCGCAAATATTTACTAAAAATTATATTAAAAGCAAATCAAACATTACACCACAAGAAATTGTCTTCCTCTTCAAGAGTTCTTGGAGGACACACTCATCTCCACCTAAAAAATTATAAATAAAATGCTTACAAAAACTTGAGAGTGGAAACTACTTATTTCATTTTTTGAACTTATTGATGCTGAGAATTAGCAACATCTTAAATAACTACAGGAAGCCAATCGTCAATCAAGTTAACTTCCTCCTCCAACAAAGTAAATTTGTTATCTTCTTCAACTAATGCCCACAATACAACAAGTTGATCTTTTAAAGTTTCTTTATCCAAATCTACAAGACTCTAAATACATATCAAAGAAAATTTTATGTATTGAATTTTCTTACTGAGAAAAGAATTATCTAAAGTGAAATAAAGAAAGCAGCACTTAACAATAATGCAGCTTATTTTGACAACTAGCATGCGACATTTGAAAATAATGACAATAGGATGATAATTCATAAAGTGTCGGACTATAACTAGCTTAAAAAAAAAGATTTTCAACATTTGTGTTAGCAAAAAACACCTGTTAAGTAAGAGTAGGTAGTATTTTTGACAAATATAATAAGAATGCATGTTATACAAAACTTTCCCTCAGATGAGAAGTTAAAAACATATTATTTCATGCAACAGGAAATGAAGAGTAAACCATATTACCAAAAAAATATAATGGAAAATGCAAAACTTTAGACAAAAAGCAATAGAAATGTGAGAACAATTAATAAAATGAATAATATTATAAGCTTACAATAATAAAAATGGATGAATAATCTACCCCAACATGAGTTGAATAACCAGCCAAAAGCAAGTTCCATTAGAAATAGAACTTTCATGCAAAAAGTAAATGTGAGAAGTAAGGCGCTAACAATCTTTGTCTAGAAACTCAGCATTTTGTAAACAAGGGCAGTGTTTCTTAAAAGTCCACAATAGCAATGGTAAAAAAAATAAACTGCTCAAGGGATTATACAGTTAAGGGACCATACAGCTAATATACATTTAAGGGATTCTACATTTCGTTCTAATTAAGAATATAACATCAAATTTTAGGGTGATGAACATGTATTTGCTAATAAAGGAGCAATTAAAAACCTCCAAATTCATTCAAAAAAGAAAAACATTCCAATCAAATCATACTTCATCTACAACAACAGCAAACCTTTATCCCGCTAAGTGGGGTCGGCTACATGAATCATTTTTGTCTACATTGTGTCTTATTGAGTGTCATATTTTCATTTAATTTTAATAGATTAAGATCATTTTTTTAAACAATATGCCCAAGTCTTTTTTGGTCTACCTCTGTCTATTTTAACATAAGTCAAATTTAAAACATCTACTTTCCTAATCGGATCATCAGATCGTCGACGTTCGTCGACGTTTAATGGTGACCAAACCATCTAAGATGACTCTCTAATCTTGGAGCTACACCAAACCTATCGCGGATATTATACTTTCGCATTTTATGTCTAAGTGTCAAGCTACACCAAAAATAAGCATTCTCATCTCAACAAAACTTAGCTTTGTTTCATGATTCTCTTTTAAAGGCAGACATTCTCTCCATAGAGATTGCAGGTTTCATCAAAATCTTATAAAATTTCCTTTTAGTCTAAGCGGTAGTTTTATATCACACAATAGGTCGGATGCATTCCTCCACATCAACCAACTAACTTGAATTATACTAATAGCATCTCCATCTATATCACCATCATTTTGAACAATAAACCGGAGATATCAAAAAAGTTCACGCCTTTTAATGATTTCATCGCCCATAATTACAACTCTTGCCATTAGAGCTGCTACTACTAAAATCATACTTTTCTCTAAAGTTTAATTTTTTATCTTTAGCGATGACTTGCACCAAACTTCCAAAAAGAGCAAGCATTCCCAACCTAAACACAATATTTCATATCTCTTAAATTTTGATACAACTGCAACTGCTATATATCTGCTCTTTTGAAACCGGTGAAGAACAATAAAGAAGAAAAATAAAAATTAGGAAAAAAACATAATCCAGGCATGTAAGGTCAATAAAAAGGAGTGAAACTACCTCACCAATGGATTGAAATAGTGGCAATGATTGTTAGCAGCAAATGTATCTATTAATGAAAATTATTGATAAATTCTGATTAAATATAGATTCAACTTTTGTAACTAAAAAACACATGAACTCTAGAACTTTGCGATAATGGACATCCAAGCATGGAACTTTATATTCATAAATGTAGCCCAAAATCAAAGAAAATTTGCATAATATTGAACTCGCGCATCCTAAATATAGAGCCATCCTCAAATATCAGTAAATATATGTGAAACGTAAAGGGACCCCAGTCGTAAATTGCTCGATTATTCCAGCTAAAAATCTTCAAGAACAAAATAAGGTTGAATCCGCGCTTACACTTTCGGATGCGTGCGGCCGGATAGCCGCAGGAAGAGCAGGTGCTCTTCTGGAGGTGGAAGCTTCTTCTGCCGCACCTCACGCAAAGCGTGTGAGTCTTGTTCCTCCTCTTACCGAAAGAACCCGTGCCTTTACCCTACAATAAGAGAGAAAGATCGATTAGAACTCACAATCTTAAATTCGAGCTTTACATTATGGATCTCACCATTTTGTCGCGGTGGCCGGCGCGAAACAAAAACCGGCGCTTAGAAACCCTAAAAGAAAAGATGGACCTCTGTGGTGTGCGAGAACTTATACCTCATTGCTGTGTCTTTAATTACAATTTTACCCTTGCGCTTTCTATCATCTGCCGTCTGAGCTATAAAAAAGTGTGCGCGAGCAGAACAAAAGGTGATTTTGTCATAAAACATAAGAGTTACAGAAAGATTTAAAAATTATTATTTATAATAAAATATTATTTAAATTTAATTTAATAATTTTTATTCTATTTTTTTAACAAATATTTTAAATTGATTATAAATCTTTATAGTCTTGTAGTCAATTAATTTTTTTTTAAATAATACTCATGAATATATATATATATATCAGTATTTGACAGATGCCCATGAGAGTAGCATTTCAAGCTAAAATGAACCAAATACAAAAAAACAAATTTTTGTTCGTGTTCAGCTTGTTGACTTAGCGAATAAGCTGAACACGAGCTATTCGCGAACAACGAGCCATTTTGACAGCCCTATTTGAGCGCACGTGAGGCTTATTTACATGTTTAGCTGAAAAATATATTTTAATTGGGTGTCTTCAAACAGGTCCGTTTAATAAACTTGTCCGTTTGATCGACCTCACGACCTACTTCTTCAATCCCGCTTTTTGAAGCTTTGTTTCCTCCCGTGCCCTTCTGTCTTTCTACTCCCTCGCTCGATCGCTATTATCGTAGGCCAGTGCTCCCTCGCCTCTCCCACAATTGCTCCTAACGACAAACCTCGGCTTTCTCCTTCCTTTCTTTTCCGAGATCCTCGAGTCGGCTTCCCGCACCTTCATTCACAGCGTCCCGTGTTTCGCTGGTATCGTCCTCTATCCTTCCACTTTTTCATCATTCTCCTACGTCAAAAGTCGGTCATGTGGATCTCTCTAGTATCGTGTTTCCCTTCTCTTAAGCGCAGCTATGATCTGAAAAAAAAATGATTGGGCCTCAGCACGCCCTGAAATTTACACCATTAGCTTCAATCATGTTGTTTTGTTTTTAATGCATTTCAATGGACATATCATCTAGACCATTAACACCATTTGAATCTCTCTAATGTCCTGCATTTCATATTTTTAGCTGTAATTTTTGTTGTTTTTTTTTATCAATCTTGATATTCACTGCAAAGTGGGTTTTGTATGGTATATTTTATGTTGTTCTTAAGTTGTTTTTTACTTCTCAAGTATCAAATATATTATTATGATAATTCTGTTGCAAATAACATTACTGCACAGAGGTAGAATGATCATTTATCCATAAACAATTGCAGAACAGTTGTTTTCTAACAGCACAAACCAAACAACCAGCCAGCTTATCTGGATCAGCTCTTGATTAACTGCTCATCCAGATCACCTGCTAATAAGTATATTATTAATAAGTTGCAGTTACCCCAAACATGCCCTCATTCTAAACGATGAATGTGGCCACAGTGAGTCACCTGCAACTTATGACTGCGACAAATTTACATAATACTCTTATCGTATCACAAGAAGAAAGGATAGAACCTGCGATGCTCTAATTGCAAAGCAAGAGAAGCCGAGAAAGGGCAGTGATTCTCCCTGTCATTCTTCTACTTCTTCTTCTCAAATGAGATGGGAGAAGCGACGAGCCTGCAGTTTTGGGAATTTCAGGATATTTGTTGTCTCTTTAGTTTTATGATGCATGATAAATGATTTATTTCAGTTTGGAGAAGCGACTATCCTATCTCTGTTTGGAGTGCAAACAACAATCATCGAAGGTATGATAAATATTTAATACAAATCTAGCCAAATAAAAAAATCAAACAAATTAAATCGTGTATTGCTTAGCTTAATTTTTCTTTCCTTATGTTACTTTATTTTAATATAAAGTTGAATTTATTAAATCTAATCATTATGTGAATTTAATGGATTTAGTTAGGCGGAAAACCAGAAAGCAGGTCTATGTCAAATGCCTTATATGAATTTAAAAAATTTTAATTTTAAATTGAACCAAACATTAATTTGAATTTACAGTATTTTTATTTGATAAATATGAATTTACCGAATTTACTAAATTATATTTGACATGAATCTTATACGCAACCAAACACCCCCTTAGAAGAAAGGGATTGAAGGACCATTTGCATATGAAGAAAAAATGAAGTTCGAAGCTCATCAACAAAATGATTATGAATACGCAGAGCCATTGATAAAATGGAAGTAAAGAAATTGCAATGAGATGTGGTTGGAGAATGCATCGAGGAAGTCAATAACGTGTAATTTTTGATTTAAGGAACATTGCGAGTGAAATTTAAGATTTTGTAGGATTTAAAGTTATTATATATGCTATTTGGCATCTTTAGGCATAATGCTGCTCAAATCTTGCTACCAAATAACACCTTAGAGTTTGATGTGTAGCCTTATAGAGATTTTGTAATTGGTAGAACATAGGTTGCATTTATATTTAAGACTTTGTCTAACATTTGTGAATACATCATAAAAAATCGAATTATTAAAACATAAATATGGATGTAATACTTGAAATTAGCATTTCTAGAATTTAATTTGGAACCATTCAAATTCTAATTTTAGTGAGCTTGTGATCGAATTGTAAGTCTCAAATAGACAATCCCAAGAATACCAAAAGTTGTAAATAAACTAGCATTATTCATATTATGACCTAACTTTGAAATTACAGATGGCTTGGAGATTTAATTAACGATAGAAGTTTATTCGTCGACTAACATAAAACAAAGCATCATCAAATAGTTATTGTCCGATCGTCGTCTTCTTATCAGCATTGCCCTACTTTCGAAAAATGACAAACTCATATTATCGAGGCTACAAACCATCCATGAGACATGAATAAATAAATTTTGAATCATCTTCAACGTGTGATCAATTCAACTTTGAATTATTTTCAAACCTCATTTGATCACAATCAAATCATCTTCAATTTAAAGATCGTTCGATCATATATCAAATATGAATTTAGAAGTGCTTGATTGAGAGTTGAAGAAGGTTTGTATACTCATCAAATAAGTGTAAATCATTAACATGGTACTTCTAGCCTCAAAGTATGTGTGATCATGTTCCAAGATTGTTCATATATAATGTTAGATTGGGTTGACTTATTTGAACTTGAGTGATATGTGTGCATTTGTATGATTTAATATCATTAATTAAAAGACATTATAATTATGATGATATCGTTGGTTTCACTACTTTGTAAATGTTGTCATTATTAATCATGACAAGCACAATAATGTTTATTATGGAAATGCTTCTCATTGTTGAAGATAAATAGACGTTTTTTTAGCTGACTGTGGGAAATGCTGTCACGAGAGAAAATATGGTGAGTGCTGAAGATTGATATAGTACACCATAAGTACATGCTCTAATGAAAAATGCCCAAGCCCAATATTATAAATAGATATGCAATATCATTGCAATATCAAACTTATGAGACAACGAGTTAAAAAAGAGGTGTGTCTATTTCTTTAGGGTGAGAATACCATGAAAGTCGAGCTGGGGGACAATAAGATGCTCACGGTGAAGATTTTTCATCACTACTCATGAAAAAAATATACAAGCGAACGCTATTTTTATTCACGAAATAAGTTTATAATTAAAGTTGGATATAAATGCATAATTTGCTCACATGCACTTCATTACTCATTTTTACATCTAAAATAACATATCAACCAATGAGAATGACCTTGTTAAGTCAATTTACATGCCCCTACTTAACCAAACTTTTATGAGATTGTAAAGAAAAGCGAGCCCGATATTTCATTTGAGAGAGTAAGGGACATTGTGGAACAAAAGTAAATTGCAAGTTAGTTCATCATATCACAATAATAGATAAAGCATCATACCTGCATTGTTTTTGAGAAAAAAAGTGGCATGGCTAAGCTATATAAAAATAAAATAAAAAAATATTTGTGTGTAAATTGAATGCTTTATTTAATTTTGTATGAAGGATTTATATTCAAGACATCAAAATATCAAGAAAGCAAATGAGGAAGGTGAGATACTTTTCATCGACCACACCGAAACTTTGAGTTTGGTGGGGCTAGTGAAGAGGTGCGCCGAGAGAAAAATGCGGAATAATGAAGAGGAGTCAAAGGATCAACCCATTGATATCCTATATACAAATGTGGAGGGGAAGAAGTTAAATGATCTACCTATTATCTTAATATATAAATATAAGATTTATTTAGTTGTTAATTATAATTATACAAAAGAATGACGTATAATGTATAGTGTTTACAAAAAGGTCAACGAGTAATAAAAAGTACATGACAAAGGATTTCACATATTTGTCGAATTAAAATAATAAGACCATAATGACATCATCATTGATCCCCTTCACTCATTAACAAGAAACAATTGTTATTAGTTTTAATCTTTGATATTATGCATTGTTCATTACTCTAAAGATAATGAAACAACACAATGTGTTTATAATAAATGAATGCTCTGATGACATGATTAGATAGGAGGGTGATAATCTTTTTAACAAATTAAATATATTAATTTCAATTTATTCATTTTGCAGTATATTATTTTTGCATGTTTCTAAATTAACCATCAATTCCATCATAAAAAAATAAAGATTTAAATGCATTATATCATATATATTTATATATGACTCATAAGTCATTTATCTTAACCTCATAATATATAAAAATAAAGTTGAACACACTCTGCGCGTAGTAGGTTTCCTACAACACTTCAAAATGAGGAAAAGTAAGCACACTTCATGAAAAATCAAAGATTTATTCTAAAATCTACAAGCATAGTTAGCAATTAGAAAATAACCTAATAGTGACATATTTTCTCACATAAAACTTGCACATTCCACATATCACAAACAAGTGGCTAATAAAAATATCATTATTAGTACCATAAATGTTTAATGGATTTTTCTTAGAATTTATATAAAAAATATGAATAAAAGAAACACATAAATGTATAAATAACAATCATTTTTTTATATAAACAATGCCATATCAACAAATACACTTAAATCATTCATAATTCTATATATTAAAATTTAGCTGTGATATATGTAAACACTAAACAAACAAGAATTATGTGGTACGCACTTAAATCCCCTCAAATAAATTCAAATTTTTTCGGGGCAGACTTTACGTGGGCGGGTTGGGCTTGGCTATTGCGGAATTTGACCAAGTTAATGCGAGCTCAGGTCGGGCCGGGCCGGGCCAGTCAAATTTCTATTTTCTCACCTTCAAAACCGCCCACTACTTGCAGGCTTATGCCGAGCCCGTCAGACCACCTGCCCAACGCCCAAATATATTAACAAGTATAAAAATAAGTACTACAAAAATAAAAATAAGTTTTGCAATAACTAATCAAGATAGGCATGCACAACAAAAAAAATCAATGAAAAAAACTGATCGCCCTTAAATTCCTAGGAATATCATACAAATAATAATAGTAATCTTTCTTAGCAAGGGCGATTACATTCAAGACTCCAATAAATGATAATTAAACTCTTAATTAGCAATACAAAAAATTCAGAAAAAATTATTGCATACGGACATCGCATGCAGTGTCCGATCTACGCCGTAGATCACGGTGATTGACGGTGAGGATGTATTTCGGTGAACCCCACTTTAAATTTTATTATTATTATTATTATTATTATTTTAAAATTTGATTGCATTCTCACCGTAGATCGACGTGATCTACGATATAGATCAGACACCGTATGCATCTCTGCATGTGATGTTCATATGCAATAATTTTTCTTAATTAAGGCTTGATAAATATTACTGAAGAGTGATTCATAATGAAATGAACTCCAAACAAAAATTCAATATAATCAACTTTAAGTTAAGGAGGAAAAAAAAAAGAAAAAAAAACAGGTACCTACGCTCATCATAGGCGCTCTTTCCTGCGCGATGCATGATTTCATGAACTCGATGACAATGGAGGGAAGCACCAAACCCTAGAGAAGAAAGGGCTCCATCTGTGCAAATGTAGCATCTTCCATGACCCCCAATCCATCAATCCCGCCTTCCTTGCTCTTAAAACACAAATGAACCAAGAATGTTATTGCTAACTACTATCTTCTGGGTTAGGGCGCTCCTTTTACAACTCCCAATGTTTCTCTCGAGTTTCTCGGGATCCAAGAACCGATAATCTGGAAGCCAACGTTCTTGGACTTTACCGTGCTAACTGTCGATCGCTTCAGTGATTCCTGTGGTCACAAACCCTCTTTTTTTTTAATCTTCTGCGTAAAGTTTTTTGCTATCGCAGGCATTCTAGTTATGTGTTTTCTTAAATTACCGGAAATGCATGTGATTCTTGCTTGAGTTTTAAAGATTCACAAGCCCAGATTGTGGCATTTACTTCTTTCTATCTATGTTGAAAAATGCAGTGCGAGTGAAGGTCTTCTAAGATAACTTAAACGGGTCTGTTGTCTCTTTCAGGATTTGTTAATACTAGTTAGAGATGGCTCCATCTGCTCAGACTCAAAGGGCACTATCGGCTGTTAAAGCCATGAAGCTCATTGGGTTTGATCAAGCCAAAGCGAAGACTGTCTTGAAGAAGCTGCTCAAAGTTTATGAGAACAACTGGGAGTATATTGAAGCAGAAAACTATAGGCTTCTTGCGGATTCCATACTCGATGACGAGGAATCAGTGGTAGGTTCTATTTTGGTTCTTTCCGTTTCTTAATGCTGTTTGATGCCTTGATTAGTTTGTGGGTTTTTCTTAGAGCCATGAAAATGAACTTAGTAAGTGAATCTTCAGATTATGAAAGACGTTTTATGATGATAAATACATGAGTTTGAAGAAGTTTATAGTTAGTGATTTGATTTTTAATCGTTTCTTTTCTGAACCAGAAGCCTGAGGCGAATGAAACTGATGCTGCTGCAAGTGAGGCTCCTGAATCATCGCGCAGGAGGCTAAGGCGTAGACAAGAGGATTCTGGCCATCTTCCGTTAACAATAGAAGCTTCTGCTTCCGGTGAAACTTCACTCAAGAGACCAAATATTGTTCAATCACCCGAAGAACGTCCCACAAATTGCAGAGGTAAAATGATTAAGCCGGTGGAGGCTCAATGGCCCCATGATGGAGAAGGAACGTGCTTATCGCCTCGTTTGGAACTTAAAAACGGACATGGTCGTGAAGATTGCAGCCCTATTTCAGGTGGTATAGTTTCTCGATTGAGCAGGTTCAATAATTCTGCAAATGTGCCATTTCTTGAATAAGGAAATTTAGGGTTACTTTTGATGCATGAAATAGGTAAAAATCAACCGAGCAGCACATTTGGAAGTTTAACATGTTACAAAAAGCCAAAGATTGAACCTAACAACGAAGTTCTTCAAGATATTGTTGCTGTTGGTTTTTCGTCTATTCAAGATATCTCCGTGGATGATGTGCCTATCACATTGCCGCCACCGAATGGAATTCCTTCAAGAACCTCTGGTATAAACATGCTAAAAAGTTGTTGAATTAATCAAAATAATATTTCTTTTTCTGCTAAGGCGGCAAATGTATAGTTTCTCCTTGTAATTCAGTTTCTTTGGCCACTCGAGGCTTCATAAATGTTGAATGATTGTCAGATTACAAGCCTTCCCCAATGTGAGCGCATCTTGGTTTTGGATAGGCTGCATATCTAGTGATGCATGGTAGCTGCTTGCATTATTTCATTGAGGCCAAATTTATTTTGAAGATTTACATCGTTACCACTTATTTCCCATGCATTTACATATCTAATACCTAAACTTCAATTTTTACATACATGCCACATTAACCATGCATGAAAGGTGTATTTCACTTTTAGAAGTTAAATTTGTGGTCTTTCTTATGTGATATGAAAGAATTGGGTTGTATAAATGTATAAAGTGAATTTTAGGTGTTATATATGTAAATACAAAGGAATTGGGTGGTCTGTATGTAAATGTCCCAATTTATTTTCCAATTTTTTTTATTTCCCTGTCTAGAATTTCGTTTTTCTGGTTGATTGATATTTTTCCAAGCATTGGTTTGGCTAAATGCTTGCTTTCTTGATGTAGCATCGTTAATTTGCACTGCTAATGTTCAGCTTGAGAATAGTTTTATTTTCTGTCTCATTGACTCAGTGTTTATGTATTTATTCATATTTGCATTTGTACTATAATTGCTGTCTTTTCCTGATGATTGCTTATTTTTAATTGCCAAACCAAGATTCTTCTTTTGCAGTTTGTTTATTTCCAATATTTTTGTGGAAAAAGATTGCTCTGTCTGCTTGGGGGAAGAAAAGTTAACGGTGATAAGTAAATGGCTTCTAATGCACTGAGCAGGGACATGTTTTAGAATGTATAATTATAATCATGATAACTGAGATAACTTTGAACAAGTTTCTCTTCTTTAATGTTGCATGAAAAGGCGTATTTCACTTTCATTTCTGTTGATTGTTCTGTCTAGAATTTCATTTTTCTGGTTGATCAATATTTTCTAAGCATTGTTTTGGCCTAAATGCTTGCTTTTTTGATGTGGCATCATTTGTTTGCATTGCTAATGTTAAAATTGAGAGTATAGTTTTATTGTTTGTCTCGCTGACTCAGTTTTTATCTATTTATTGATTATGGCATCTGTGCTATGATTACTGCCTTTTCCTGTTGATTGCTTATTTCTAATTGCCAAGCCAAGATTCTTCTATTGCAATTTGTTTATTTCCAAAATTTGTGGAAAAAGATGGCTTTGTCTGCTTGGAGAAGAAAAGTTAATGGTGATAAGTAAATGGGTTCTAATGCGTTGAGCAGGGAGATGTTTCAGAATGTATAATTATAATTATGATAACTGAGATAACTTTGAACAAGTTTCTCTTCTTTAATGTTGCATGAAAAGGCGTATTTCACTTTTTAAAAGTTACAATGGTGGTATTTTTAATGTGATATGAAAGATTTCGGTATTATTAATCTATAAGTGAATTTAAGGGTTATATATGTAAATACATAGGAATTGGGTGGCCTGTATGCAAATGTCCCAATTTATTTCCCATTTCTTTTAATTGTTCTGTCTAGAATTTCGTTTTACTAGTTGATCGATATTTTTCGAAGCATTGGCTTGGTCTAAATGCTTGCTTTCTTGATGTAGCATCATTAGTTTGCGTTGCTAATGTTAAGCTTGAGAGTATATTTTTATTGTCTGTCTCATTGATTCAGTTTTTATGCATTTATTCATGATTGTATTTGTACTATGATTGCTGTCTTTTCCTGTTCATTGCTTAATTTTAATTACCAAACCAAAGTTCATCTATTGCAGTTTTTGTTTATTTCCAAGATTTTGTGGAAAAAGATTGCTTTGTCTGCTTGGGGGAAGAAAAGTTAATGGCGATAAGTAAATGCGTTGAGCAGGGAGATGTTTCAGAATGTATAATTATAAATTTGATGACTGAGATAACTTTGAACAAGTTTCTCTTCTTTAATGTTGCATGAAATGTTTGCAAATCCTTGACACTTTGTTTGATGCTTCTTTCTGCCTTGGCTTGAATTCGCGCTCCCAACATGCTCAATCAATTTCATATAAGGGAAGGTTGGTCATTAGTCCGGCTAACTTCTTTCTCCAACGTACATTGGATGTCTTTGCTATCTTTTGATAAAATTTATGTGCAATGGGAATGATTTTGTTGATTTTTCGTTGGCAGGTTTGTTTTTTTTTTTGTGGGCTGATTTGCACTACAAACTAATTAGATGAATTAATCTTTTATGCCTGCTATATCTTCGATTATATTATATGGCTATATGATCTTTGAAATTTTGAGCGAATCATACGAATCTGGATCAACTAGGCTAATGGTGGTGGAATTGGTGGCTTGAAATGATTATGGATGCTTATTTTAACGTGTGAGAAGGTGATCTCTTTGAATGGTGGGGTGGCTCAAAGTGTGTTATTTTGATTTGAAATTTTTCTTTTCGCAGTGGGTTTAATGATGTGTAAAAGAAGGAATATGATGGTGGATGGTTTGGCTAAAATTTGGATTGATGATTTGGAGTAGCGTGAAGTTTTATTGGGTTTAATCTGTTATACTAGTGTGGAGAACAAAACTAGGTAGCTGTTTATCTTAGGCTTGACTGAGACCTTCAATGAGGGTTTAGTATGGTTTAGGGCTTGAATGGTAGATGGCTAGTTTTAGATGATTGTTAGATGGAGGAAGATGTGAGAGAGACTTAAGAGAGGTGTTTGGTGTAATGAGTATTTACAAGATAAACAATTACTTCCACCGAGGTAACCTATGCCTCCAAATACTAACTCTCAAGTGAATAAACTTCCTTAAAACATTTTATCACTTGATATTTAAAATAAATCAATATATACCAACATTTTTATAGTTATTACAATGACACTTCGACTATCATCAATCAAGAGGAAGAGGAATATTTGGAGGGATAGGAGGTGTGCGTCCACTAATGAAACAAAAGTGGCAACCTACTTCATTTGTTCATTATATGTTACTAAGTTTTAAGTGGCTAACCCATACACATTTTTAAAATGTAAACCCAAACTTCTTTATCCAAAACATAAAATTTATATATTAAAAACTCAAATAATTGTGGCTAGCCCATACATATTCCTAAAATGTGAATCCAAATGTCTATATCCAAAACATAAAATTTTTATATTAAAAAAACACTTATTAATTCCCACTTTTCTTAAGTGGGATCTTTAAACGGGCTTTTTTGAGCGCTTACTTGGGCCCTCTAATTTGATGGTTTTACGAGAACTCTTTGTTGGATTGATGGTTGGAAATGATTGGATATTTTGTGTATAGAGGGATATGATAGGGGAATACACAAGGCTAGTTTGGGTTGTTTTTAAATATCTCCTTTGGGAAAGGGTTAATTGTTATCTCAAAGGAGTAAAATAATGGCAGAGGGTTTGGTTAGGAGATGAACTTATGATGTGCAGTATTTGATGAAATTTTATGAGATTTAATACCTTGTAGTGGCATGGAGAACAAGATTCGTCACTTGTTTATGGTTTTGAGAGATTTTATGGGATTGGTCAGTAGATGGGTTGCCTTAGATGCTGGCTGGAGTTGACGGAAGATGCTCAAGGGATTTAGGAGATACGTTGAGAGTTGTAGTAAGTGCATACAAGATAAACGACAAATAGCACAAAGGAAAGTCCTGTTAATTAACCAAGTACTATCAAAAAAGAAACCCTCCCAAAAAATTTATCGTTCAAAAGTTGAAAATTTCAGTAAATACCATCACAATTTTCAGATTTTAGAATTTCTCTTAGACTAACACATTAAAAAGGAAGAGAAATTATGAAGGATAATTAGGTGGGTGGCTATTAATTGAAAATTGTGCTAATGAATTTCATTAATTCATTTTATTTTTCATATTTTATTTTGGGCCTAGCTCAAACATGTTCCTCAAAATGAAAAGTCAAGCTTCTATGTATATATTTTGAAATATAAGTATTAAAACTCAAATATATATATATATATATTTTGATTGAGCTCTTGAAATGTGCTTTTGTTGGGTTCTTTAGTTAGTTAGGGTGGATGACCTTTTGGTGATATTGATTGCCTATTTAGTTTATCGTGTGAGGATATGATTTAGAGTTTTTGGTTTCATAGTTAACTTTTTAGAGGGTATGATGGAGGGAGAGACAATGCTCATTTAAATCTTGGTAGTGTGGGCTTATTTGAGTTTTCTTTTGATAATATATTTAGTGTTCTCTAGAGGTGAGAAATGATGGTAGAGGGTTACGTTAGGATGCGATCTTATGATTTGAAGTGGTTTGTTTAGTTTTATGGGTTTAAAGAATTGTAGTGACATGGAGAATAAGACTAGGTAGCTGTTTATTTAAGTTTAGTCTAGATTATCAATGAAGGGCTTTGAGTGCTTTTTAGAGCTTGGCTAATGAATGATTGGTCTTAAATAATGGTTTGGAGGTTGAGAAAGTGTGAAGGCTTTATAGTGGTGTGAACAGTAAGACTAGGTATCTTTTTATGTAAGTTTGGCCTAGATTTTCAATGTATGGCTTTGAGTGGTTCTGATGGCTTGTGTAATCCATGGCTGGTCTTAGATGATGGTTAGGAGGTTGACCAAGATGTGAGAGAGATCTAGGAAAAGTGTTGTGCAAAAGTTTATAAGATAAACATTTAACCCAATAAAAAAGTTTCAAGAGAGTAAACTTCTAAATTTCTTAAAATATTTTATCATTGCAAAGTCAAAAGCTTTCATTGTATACCCACAATATGAATGGAGTTTATGACTACTCTTAGACTGTCATTTTATATAATGAAAAAAAATTTAGAGGGAAAAGAGGTGGGTGACCGTGATAGGAGGAAGGTACTAGCTACCTTCTTTAATTCATTTTATTTTCTAAGTTCATCAAGTGGCCATCCCATTCATGTTTCCCATGCAAAGTTTCCAAAATGAAAATTAATTTACATTTAGATGTTTTTTTTCTTGATTTGGCTCTTAAAATTGGCCTTTTTGGGCTATTGCTTGGGCTCTTATTGGTGTTTTTGTGATGGATCGTTTTGCTTGAATTCTTGTGAGTAAAACTTTCCATCTGAATTAAATATTCATACACCACCCAATCATTCTTAACATAAATTAAAATCTTCATTACGATCTTACATTGTTCTGCATCCCATAAGTTATTATTGCTCAACATTTTTTTGTCCTTGTATTCTTCCTTTCTTGTTAATTATGTTTGGATTTATTAGTATGATTGTTATACATAATTGTTTGGCGGGCTTTTAATCTTTCATGCTGATGAGCTCTTAATTTTTTTCTTAACAAAACTGCATTGCATGGGTGATTTTCATCGGGAAATTGCTTCGACTCATTTAACTGATGCAAAAAATGCATGAAGTAGCATTCAATGGGAATGAAATAGAAAGTCTTAATGTTTCAGCGCAGGAGGCCAGGTCTGATCTTTCAAGTTCGCCGGAAAGGGTGTCTGCTAATACTTACATAGCTTCCTCAAACATGGGGGAGGTAAAACTTTCATTGATCTATAATTCTGACCATCCTAATTTTAAAATGCCAAGCATAGAATCAGTTTTTAAAATGGTTGAGGAGAAGACTTTAAAATCTTATAAGATCCTTCAACCAGATTTTTCACTTATGAATCTAATGAAAGAGATATGCCAGTGTGCGGTGGATTTAGCAACTGAATCTAGTAAAGATGAACATGAGAAGGTTAGAAATGTGATTCCTCCGTTGGAACCTTTGAAAAGATTCCAGTCTTCTAGCCCAAATCATATTCTGATTAATGGATCTTCTGGTGGTGCACTGGATTTGGCTGCATTGGAAATTTCAAGGCAAAGCATGAATAGTCATGATAGCATTAATGATTTGCAGGAAAATCTTGATCCAGAATCCTCAGGCCACAATGCTTTGCAGTGTTTGGCAATTGTCCCACAACAAGAGCATGCTGTTAGTGTTCTCCGTCCCCCACATGATGAGAACGACATAGCAAAAGGCGAAGAAAGAGTCAGAATTTCACTTGTTAACGAGTTAACCCAAGAGAAATACCCGCCTTACTTTCATTATATACCTCAGAATGCTGTTTATCAGAACGCGCATGTCAACTTTTCTCTTGCTCGTATTAATGACGAAGACTGTTGTCTGAGCTGTTTTGGTGATTGTTTAAGTGTGCCTATCCCATGTGCCTGCACACGAGAAACTGGTGGTGAATTTGCTTACGCGACAGATGGCTTACTCAAAAAGGAATTTTTGGATGAATGTGTTTCTATGATCCGTTATCCTGATAAACATCATCATTTTTACTGTAAGGATTGTCCCATAGGAAAGTCCAAGAATGAGCATATGCCTAATGCTTGCAAGGGACATCTTGTTAGAAAATTTATTAAAGAATGCTGGAGCAAGTGTGGATGCAACAAACATTGTGGCAATCGTGTTGTTCAGCGTGGCATATCACGAAATTTGCAGGTCATCTCCTTGTATAGTTTTCAAGATAGGCCCTAATCTATTCATTTGTTCTGATATGCATGTTTTAATATTTATAAAGAAGATTTGCATGCATACCACTCAATTCCTATGATTGTACATATGTAACACCTAAACTTCAAGTTTTACATGCATAACACTTTACTTATGCATGAAAATGTGTATTTCTGTTTTTTAAAGTTCAAATGGTGGTATTTTTGATGTGGTATGAACGATTTGGATGGTATAAATGTTGAAAGCAAAATTTTGGTGATAGATATGTAAATACATAGAAATTAGGTGGTATGTATGTAACTGCCCCTATTTATAATTCTTTTCAAGGAACATTGCTTTTTGATTGCTGTTGCTTCAGCTAATATCCTTTATTTGCATTCAAAAACCTATTTGCGTGCTTAGGTGTTTTTTATAGATGGTGAGAAAGGATGGGGTCTTCGAGCTCTTGAAGAATTGCCTAGAGGGGCATTTATCTGTGAATATGTTGGAGAGATATTAACAAACACAGAACTTTATGATCGTACCATTCAAAAGACTGGTGGTGCAAAGCATACCTACCCTGTGTTATTGGATGCTGATTGGGGTTCGGAAGCTGGATTGAGGGATGAGGAAGCTCTTTGCTTAGATGCTACTTTTTATGGAAATATTGGGAGATTTGTGAATCACAGGTACCATGCTTTAGATTGTTTTTTTTCTTGTCAAGCAGTACTTCTAAGAGATAGACTTGCCTTTGCATTGCTTTGTTTTTCAGATAATGGTGGGGTTAAATAAACGCAAATATGTATTTTTATGGGTTTTCTAAGGCCAACATGATTATTTGTGTTCGATTGTAATTTATGACTGTGGTGGAAAAAACTTTTTCATTTTTTCTTTTTAGTTGGAGCTAGCACTGTCCTCTACATAACTATCTTATATGCTATAGCCATATAGCCGGTAAGAAAAAAAAAACAACTATATATCCCGCGCTAGCAATTTTCGCAGTTTATGGGTTGGATGGATTATTGCTTTATTTTTCCCAAGAGAATGTAATTTTTTTTTCCATTGCTTTTTTTTTTCTTTCAAATTTTCTTAGGTTTTCTCTTTAACGTTAACCGTCTAACTGATTTTCAACTAAGAACGAATTAGAAAACTTACCATATATGTTGATGTTCAATTTATTCAGAGCCTACTTCAATGCCAAGTTTTCTTGGATGTCCATTTGTAGTTGCAGGCTTTAGGGTGTTTTTGACGATTTGTTCTTGAGAGTTGAAGCTGGAAAAAGACTTCCGAATCACGCACTCAGAATGGGTGCCATTTGGCTCACAATGGATGATCCTCCTGGAGGCTGTAGCTTGCAATTTATTTGACTAGCTTGTAATATCGTGACAGTGCATATTCTTCTGTTTGTTTTGAAGTTCTAATCCTTTGTAATGTTTGCTCTTTCTTGGTATTCTTGTAGGTGTATAAAAGTTTCTAGCTTGCAACGTCCGAATCATTTTTTTGTCAATCATCTTTGTCTAACCATTTGTCTAAGGGGGAAAGGATATGCTGTTTTTGAACTTTGTGTCCTTCACGCTCCATATTGATCTCCAAAAACTATCGAGAAATGTGTTGTCTTTATTAGAAACAATGGAGGCTGCAGTTCGAAGAGTTTGTGCATTTGTTGAAAGAGAAATATGTTCTTTCCTCGCCTGCGATTCTTTGCATGGAGTCGAACATGCTTGCTGAAATGATAGATAAAGATGATTGATGAATAGGGAATTAAATTCTTGTCAAGACCTCTCAAGAATTCCACTAAGATGTACACCTAGGGACAACTAGTTACTAAAGAGGTGTATGGTGGCCCACCTTATGTTTGGGATTTTGATAAGTTGAAAAGATGATATCCTTGTGTGTACTGTTATGAATTCCATTGAATTTTTGGGAAGTAAACGTAGTGCTTCAAAACTTGGAGAGTTCTTCGCTTTGGGGCTATAGTGGTACGGTTGTAGTATATGTCCCATATAACTTGGTCAAGCAGTCGACATCCTTCTATAACTTCCTTAAATTTCTGTGATAACGGAGCCCCATATTGATAATTATAATCATTAAATTTGCCCTCATTAAGAGCGTTGAAGGCTTCTTGAAAATATGGATCCACCAGGTGCATTGTGCTCAACTCCCCATGGTGCAACAATAACTATATTAGCATGACACGACCATGGAAGTCCTTGTGATTGATCAGAAAAATGTGTTTGCTAAAGTGACTATAATTTCATAATGCACTTGATATGGGAAAATTTTACACTAGTAAATCTATTTTTGTGGATTGTATACTCTGAGCACAAAAATAGACTTATAAGTAACCCTACATTATTGTCGTGATCAAGCCAAGAAGTATGTTAAATTATAGTGTACTTGATAGGACATTAATTTTTTTTTGGCTACATGTCACAGACTAACTTATCTCAAGTCATCCATGCTGCTTTAGCGCTCTTTCTTGACACTAAATCAGCCTAATCCTCACAACCTTTGGACTTGTAAGCACAAAATACACTTGGAAGTAGAACATGAAGAAGTATTGGAGAAAGAAACACTTCACCAAGAAATAGTGATTATAACACTTGAATGCTTGAGAACCTTGGATGGATCTTGGATGAATACAAATGAAGGGGAAAACTTGTATTTATAGCCTTCTCCAAGCCTAAGAAATCTTTCTATATTACATTAGAATATACTATCTTCTAGATAGTTCTACACAATTCTCTTATATAATCCTAAACCTTTCTAGGTTATTCTTGAGTTATCCTTGGAGCTTTTCCTTCTAACCTTCTCTAGAATGTGGTGGAGTCTTCTAGAGTCTCTTGGATTGCTCTTTACATTTCAGTTTTCTTTAGAATCTTTCTTTCCAATGATTAGCTTGCTAATTATTCTTGAAGATGGGGGATTGTGACACTCTCCCTCACTTAAGCTCGCAATGCCCTCATTGCGACATCCACTTGTTTTTGCTTCTACCCACTTCTTCGTTCTTCTTGCAACCTTATGTAATGTGGCTCAAGCGAACCCTCATTGCTCATTCCAGGATTTGACAAATTTGGAGAATGTTGGGCTTTCTCTCTTGTAACTGGTTGTAAGGGAGAGGGATATCTGCAGTAAGATTTCATGGCTAGCGGCTTAGTCCTTGGTTCCAGATCGGTCTGCTGATTTATCTTCCTCATTGGTGGTGAAAGACCTTTATATCCTTTAAGCATTGCTGCCACTTCCCTTGGTATGTCTTCTTGGGGCTTCAATTCTTCATCATAGTCATGAAAAATAGCCAAGTAGCTCTCCTCATCTCGTGAAATGCCTCCCTTGAATTGGATGACCGATAATATTTTGACTTTCTGCTTGTTAGTCTTTGTTGTATTTTCTAAGCAAGTTTGGTTCCCTTTCATGATTTACATGCTATTGTCGAAGAGTATTGAGAATGCTCTTGATCTAAGAAGTTTGTCCTTTCAACAACTTTAAAATAATCCATCGTAATGACAGAGAATTCTAAGGTACCTGACCAAACTCCAATATTGGTTTTCACCCCTCTGGCTATTCCATGGTTTTGCCTTACTGCTAAATTGACTATCTTGACGAAGCCTCCCTCATCAGTTATTCGAGTTCACTTGATGGCTTGCAACCTTTCAGCTAAACTCCCAACCTTTTTGCTTCTTCGAAAGAGATGAAGTTGTGAGAAGCACCCGGGTTCACTATTGCTCAAGTGGTCTTCCTGTGCATTACCATATCCACAAAGAGTAACCCCTTTGCTTGAGGTTTTGTTGGAGCTTGCATCTCATTCAACAATTGTATAGACCCTACTTGTGCTGCCATATTGCTTTCTTCTTTCTCTTTATGACTTGTAAGGTGAGAGTTCAAAGCATTATTCTAAGGGCAATCCCTTGCCCAATGAGGTCCTTTACAGAGAAAACAGTTGCGTGGTTTAATATTGTTGTTGTTGTTAGATTTCCCCTTGTCTTTTGCTTTGGATGGGGTCGATTCACGATTGCTTTCTTCCTTATGTCGATCCTTGTCTTCTCCTCCTTTGGCATATGTACTTTTCTTATTTTTAAGCTTTGTGGACTTTTTTGAGTAATCAATTAGGCTTTCGGTGATCGCGATGGTAGTGACAAGATCTTGCAGTCCGTGCCTTCTAAGTTTAGCCTTTGCACACTGTTGGAGTCTATCTATGAAGTTGAAAAGAGCATCATTGTCAGACATGTCAGAAATTTTAAGAACCAAACTTGTGAACTCCCTAATATAATCTCGAATCGATTTCTCTTGTTTGAGCCTTATCAATCGGGCTCTAGCCTCACCCTCCGCATTTTCATTATAGAATTGCCTCTTTAACTAGTTTTTTAAAGTCATCAAAGGTAGATATGGTGCACATATCTTTTTCTATATCTTCTCGCCTTCTTCTCCGCCACAACATAACAATGTCTAAGAGATAAAGGGTTGCAAATTGAATTCTTGCATCTTCATTCGCAATCCCCATCGTTCCAAAGTATTGGTCGAGTCCCCATAAGAAGTTTTCTACTTCCTTTCTGTTGCGAGCTCCCCTAAAATTCTTTGGTTTTAGCACTTCAATACTCTTGGCTTCGAAGGTATGATGGTTGGTGGGTGTCGCTGGTGCCCTCTTGCATAGCAGAATATCTCCACGCATCTCCTCCAAGCTAGCACGTACGCCGCTCATCTCCTCTTCTTGGGCTCTTTGTACCTCCTGGAGCTTCCTCATCAAGTTCTTTTGCATCGTTTCCATTTGAGTCCTTAATGAGTCCTCCAGTTGGAGCATCATGCCTTTGGTCGTTGAATGGATTGTGATGTCCTCTTCCTTGAGTTCATCAACCTTTTGACCAAGATCCTCTATCTCAGTCTCCACGCCATTCATTGCTTCCTCCACCCGAGCAAGACGCTAATCAAAGCCGCACATCATCTCCTTGGACCTCCCATGCGGTTTAGATTCAACTGAATCTCGTTGCTCTTGACGACCTCTACCTTGTTGAGATGATTTCACATTAGTGGCTTCAGACTCCATTACGTGGTCTCCGACGCTCCTTTGCCATGCCTTCGAATCGAGACTCTGATATCAATTATCACGGACTAACTGATCTCAAGTCACCCATGCGGCTTTAGCGCTCTTCCTTGGTGCTAAATCAATCTAACCCTCACAACATTTGAACTTGTAATCACAAAACACTCTAAAAAGAGAAATAGAGAGAAATATTGGAAAAAAAACACTTCACTAAGAAAGAGTGATTACAACACTTGAATGCTTGATAATTTTGGTTGGACCATGTATGAACACAAATGAGGTTAGGGACTTTTATTTATAGTCCTTCCTAAGCATAAAAAAACTTTCTAGATTACATTAGAATATGCTATCTTCTAAATAGTTCTACACCATTCTCTTACATACATGGCCCTCGACCTTTTTAGGTTGTTCTTGAGTTATCTTTGAAGCTTTTCCTTCTAACTTTTTCTAGAATGTGGTGGAGTCTTCTAGAGTCCCTTGGATTGCTCTCTATATCTAGTCTTTTGTAGAATCTTCCTTTCCCATGGTTTGCTTGCCAGTTATTCTTGAAGATGGGGGAGTGTGACATAAAACTAACTTACAAGTTTACTGACGTGAACTACAACTATTGGAGGCATGCAATTCCAATAGCTATAATTGCATTCAAAGCCAATT